AAAGGAGAACTATGAGGTGAGTGCTTTTCACTCATCCTCATAGTTCTAGCCGACCTGTGACAATGAGACTGTCACAGGTCGGCTCAGTAGATCGGGAAGTGAGCGAACACATACCGGCGTTCGCTCACTTCTCTATCCTGTCACGGCAGAGAGCCATGACAGGGGAGGGACTGGATTCCACTCTCTCCGCTCCGATCCCCCAGCGCTGAGTGGCGGAACGGATGGGGGAGGGGGCGGGTACAGCTGGCTCTGCCTCTAGATAGGCAGAGCCAGCTGTCACTCACGCAGCTGGGTTGATCCAGACATAATTGTCGGGATCCATTCCGGCATCTCAGTATACTGAGCTTTGGGTGACGGGAGGACGTTGGTTTGTGTCCTCCCGTTACCCTCATGAGAACTATGGGGAAAAGCCCTAACCCCATAGTTCTCCTTTAACTACCCTGTTTCCCCGAAAATAAGACATACCCTGAAAATAAGACCTAGTACTATTTTTGGGAATTGCTAAAATATAAGACCTACCCTGAAAATAAGACCTAGTTGTGACCATTCCCATGGTCGGTGGTGGCATAAGGTGGAATTTGAAGAGCCGCGGGAGAGAATCAGCGGTGCCAACCAAGCCAGTGCTAGAGGAAGAGAGGCGTCACCGGAGGGAGCAGAGCCGCATAAGCCGATTCCTCCTCTATAGCGCCGGCTCCTGTCACAGGCGGAGTGATACCAAATGCACTCCGCCTGTGAGGAATCGATAGTGAAAGTGCTCTTCGCTCATTCTGGCCAGCGATTGGTTATCACATTGCTCTTGGAAAGGTACGTCACCTCTAATTGCCCTGATCATCATATTTTTGTACACGAATACATGTAGACTTTTCTACATGAATAAGTGCGAATTGTTGTACATTAAAAAAACAAAAAAATAAGACCTACCCCGAAAATAAGACCTAGTGTGTTTGTTTTTTTTGAGCCAAAAAAAATATAAGACAGTGTCATTTTTTCGGGGAAACACGGTAGTTGCCCAAATGCTCCGATACCGGAACTTCTGGTTAGGTGAAGATTTCCTCTGACGGACAGTGCCATAGGGGAACATGGAGCCAGCTTTCTGTGGGATCAGGAAGCCGGACGGTGAGTAATGACTCGCCTTCCTGATTGGCCGGACAGCTGGTTCCTTGCTGATTGCTTGGGGAGCTGGCTTCCCGGCCAATCAGGAAGTTGGCAGGCAGGTCATTACTCCCCGCTCGACTTCCTGATTAGTCAAAAAGCCGGTTTCCCGGCCAATCACAATTGAGCCGGCCAAACAATCAGGAGGCCGGGGCGGCATGTCATTACCCAGCACCTGGGTTCCTGATAGCCTGGTAAGCCGGCTCCATACCAACAGAAGCACCGGCATCAGTACTCGGTGTCGGCGAGTACTGGAAGCAAACTATCAGTACTGCGAAAAACCGGCATTGGTGCATCCCTAATGATCACCATATTACAGACCTGGACTTTTTCTATCAGGATTATGTTTTCACAATCCATACTGGATTAGAGGAGAAATTATTCCTTGTTTTTTACCCGGCGTTTACATTAATAATAATAATGATGATGATGATGATAATAGTACTTCCTACATTGACAACATCTTACCTGTCTGGTCAGAACTCTTTAGTGTCAGCTCATAAGTCAGATCTGTGAAAGAAAAACAATGAAAGTGCCATCAATATAACACTTCAGTCATATTTCAGTCATATTTTGATTTAACATCTATTTCAGGTACAATACAGATCTTTCTTCATTTACCATATAAATGCACATTGTTTTATTGTCCACATCTCACTGCATGACAGTTGTGATAACTCTTCCTCTAAAATACATTACTTATAGTTTCCCAGCCAATCTGGGAGGCGGGTCATTACTCACCACCCAGCTTCCTGATTGTCCATGAAGCTGGCTCCATGTTCCCCCTACGGCACTGCCGGTCAGAGGAAATATTCCTCTGACCGAAAGTTATGGTATTGGGGAAGGTATTGGCGCATCCCTAATTTTAAATGAATAAACAAGCAGAGCTGTCGGTTGCCAGTAAAAAAAAAAAAAAAAAAGTGACAATTAAGCAAATTGGTATTTTAAACTGTGAACACACAGGTGTCCATAGCAGCAAACGGCATCCAGTTAAAAGGAGAACTATGGGTAAAAAATCACTCATAGCCTTATAGTTCGAGCCGACGTGTGACACTAAAACTGTCACACTTCGGCTCAATAGAGCGGGAAGTGAGCGAACGCATTCGTCTCCCTGCAGAGAGCCGTGACCGTCACTCACACCTCCCTGCAGGGATTCCCCCCGTCCCTGTCCGATCCTCCATTGCTGACTGGAGGAATGGACAGGGGAGGGGGGCGGGTACAGCTGGCTCTGTCTCTAGATATGCAGAGCCATCTGTCAATCACTCAGCTGGGCGGATCTCAACAGTAATGTCGGGATCTGTCCGGGCTGTGGCGGTCTCAGTACATAGCGAGCTGTAGCTTGCTATATACTGAGCTTTGGGTCACAGGAGGACGCTAGTTTTTGTCCTTATTTTAACCAGCTGACTTCTGCACAGTGAAGAAGGATGGACAACCCAACAAAATGTATATATGCCTAGCCATTTATTACGGGTCATCCAAGCCTCAATTTTATAAAGATCAGTGAACATAGGGACAAGGATAAGAGTCCTCCATAGCAGCAAGATGTTTTCTTTATACACGTCTTCATACAGGTCTTCTCTAGAGTCTTTCCCATTCCCTGGAACTCTTTACCCCAACCTGTCTGTCTATTTCCCACTCTGACCGCCCTTCGGCGATCCCTAAAGACTCATCTCTTCAGGGATGCCAATCCCACTTCAAACTAACGGCTTAACCATCACGTTCTCATACAATTCAGCTCCCTGCTCATGTATCACTGGCCCCTCCTTTTAGATTGTAAGCCCTCAGGGGCAGGGCCCTCCTTACCATTGTGTCTAGAATTGCATTTTAATGTCTTGCTTATATTCTAAAGCACTGCATACACTGCTGACGCTATATAAATCCTGTATATTATTATTATTTTACCTGTGCAATGCTGCTGTAGCCGGCGGATTTCGGAGTGCAGGCCTTTCAGTGTGTTGGCATGTTCTTGTTGCAGGAACAGCAGATTCTTCTGAGCACTCTGCAGCTGGTTCTCCAGGTTAATGGAGGCCATTCTGATTCCCACTCACATAAGAGGAAGATTTCAGCCTGCTGTAAAAATACTGGATTAGATCCTTGCTGCAATATCTAGACACAAGTGTGCACAAAGCATTGTAAGAAAAAAAACATCAACATTAGTAAATATGAAATAAGAAGTGAATGTTCCTGCTGGATGGCCTTGGTTTCTCCAGCACAGATATTTAGCACTGTCCTAGCTCACTGAAAAAACAATTGAACACAAATCATTGCCGTACATTAATGAGGTCACCAGGCAATTTACATGTTATTTCTGCCAAAGCAGAGATCTGAAAATAAATTGTCCCTTCATTTGCTATTATTATACGGGATTTATATATAGCGCCAACAGTGTGTGCAGCGCTTTACAATGTAAGGAAGACATTACAGTTACAATACAATTCAAGACAAGATGGTAAGGAGGGCCCCCGCCCCTGAGGGCTTACAATCTAAAAGAGGAGGGGCCAGTGATACATGAGGTATCTGTGGGAATGAATTATGCGAGAATGTGAAGGTTCCTTGGTTAGGTTGAGGTGGGATAGGCTTCCCTGAGCCCTCGTTCACACCTAGGCGTATTGCATATGCGCGTCTGTCTGCGATTCGCGGTAAAAAAGTTGCGCGGCCGTCGCGCGTTTCCGAAGGCTACTTGGCTGTATCCCAATGGAAACGCGCAACAAAACGGCCCAAAGTAGTACCTGTACCTTTTCAGGCGTGGGCCGTTTTGTAGCGCGTTAGGGACGGGCGGAAATACGCCAAGGTGTGAACCAGACCCATTGAATACAATGGGATTTATATTTTTGAGCGTTTTGTAGAGCGTTCGTCGAGCGTAGAACGCGCTACAAAACGTTCAGGTGTGAACGAGAGCTAAAGAGATGAGTCTTTAGGGAACGGCTAAAGGCAGTCAAGGTGGGAGATAGACGGACAGGTTGGGGTAAGGAGTTCCAGAGGATGGGGTAGACTCTAGAGAAGTCCTGGAGGCGAGTATGGGAGGAGTGGACAAGGGAGCTGGAAAGCAGGAGGTCAATGGATGAGCGGAGGGGACGGTTAGGGTGATCAGACGAGGTCTGAGATATATCCGGGGGGCGGAGTTGTGGACGGCTTTATAAGTGACTGTTAATATTTTGAATTTTATCCTCTGGGCGAGTGGAAGCCAGTGCAGGGATTGGCAGAGGGGGGATGCAGACACTGAGCGGTTGGTAAGGTGAGCAATAATTTGAGGCCAGCAGCGATTTATAAATAGGTCATGGCATGTTAATTGTATGCACATCAGAATGGTCAGCTCAGCAGGTTTTGTACCCTATGGCCTTTAAACCACCCGATGCTCACATTTAGAGTGCATTACTGAATCCTCGAGGGCATTTTTGTGTACAAAGGCCCCATTTTATGATTGTTATAAAGGGGCAGGGGTTGAATAAACACAGAATGCAGGTTATACTCGACTAGATAGCACAGGTCAAGAAAATGTTACGAATTTCAGGTTATGTTGTTATTAAATTCTCTTCTATATGAAGCAAGGATACAAGAAAATCACTATAGTATCTCCTCATGTATCACTGGCCCCTCCCTTTTAGAGTGTAAGCCCCCAGGGGTAGGGCCCTCCTTACCATCTTGTCTTGAATTGTATTGTGATTGTGCAGTGCTTTACAATATAAGGAAGACATTACAAACTGTTGGTGCTATATAAATCCTGTATAATAATAATAATAATAGTGTCACATGGTCCTCATATGAATGACATCAACAAAGCAAAGTGAAAAAGCACATTAGTAATACATCATGTTAGTAATTTAGTTATTTATACAATTGTACTTCCTGTCCTCTTGATGGACTATGCAGAGAATATGAGCTGAATTCAATACAGGTGTAGACAACCAAGGCATGTGGCCAAATGTCCACCGCTCAGCAGAACATCATATTTATAATTTTGTCTTACCAATTTGTTGTTGAAGGTGCGAGCTTACATAAATTAGGAATGTGTAAGTCACTATCATATTTTTATTCTGAAAGCTTAAAGGAGAAGTATGAGGGGGGTGATTTCCACTCACCTCATAGTTCTAGCCGACCTGTGACAATGAGACTGTCACAGGTCGGCTCAGTAGATCGGGAGGTGAGAGAACACATACCGGCGTTCGCTCACATCTCGATCCTGTCACTGCTCTCCGCCGTGACAGGGAAGGGGCTGGATTCCCCGTTCCGCCAGCGCTGACTGGCGGAGGGGGCGGGTACAGCTGGCTCTGCCTCTAGATAGGCAGAGCCAGCTGTCAGTCACGCAGCTGGGGGGATCCTGGCACAATGGCTTCAGCTGCGGCGTCTCAGTATACCGCGAGCTACAGCTCTCTATATACTGAGCTTAGGGTGACGGGAGGACGCTAGTTTGTGTCCTCCCGTTACCCTAAGGAGAACTATGGGGAAAATACTTAACCCCATAGTTCTCCTTTTTAATTTTAATGATGTTTAAAACAGAACTTGTGATCTGAGCATGAACCTTGAAAGTAGGAGTATTTATTAAAAAATGTTAGTCATGTGCAGTCAATAATGTGCACGCTTTATGCTGGGCATAGCAGAAAACTATGTAAAAAAACATGCATGCAGCATTTTTTCTGACTGCACCACAGGCATTGATGTGCCACATGTTCGGGTGCTGGCGATCACACTGCTGCTGGGGGGTCGTGGCTGTGGTGCCATTCACTGCAATGCACCTTCACTCCCCCTCCCACCCCTGAACGAGATTTCAGTGCGTTCTGGCATCCAAATCAGGCCAGAACGCACTGTTTGTGGTGTGATCTAGCCCTTAACGTTCAGCACTTTGTAGAAGAGGCTGACCCTCCTCCTATGTTCAACAAGTATCAATGTACAGAGTGGATATGAAAGACATGCAAGAGTCTTTGAAAGTGATATCAATCAGATGTACTAGCCAACAAGATGTCATTGGATATACTGAATCAATGGTATTGTTTAGGGTTGCGCAGATACCAAGTACAGTACTCGGTACAAGTACGAATACAAGTACCGATACTTTTGAGCTCCAAGACTACACTAGAGAAAAATTCAAAAGTTAGGAGGCGGCTGTCATGTGTAAGGAGCACACGGAGCTCCCGGGATTTCTACATCTCTGTTTTAATGTACGATTTTGTTTTTATAAATATAAATAAAGGGATGCACAGATACCAGTTTTACGAGTACTGGTACTTGCCGAGTACTTACAAGTACGAGTACTGATACATTTTGTGTTTATTGTCATGTGACGGTTTTTCTAAAACAATACAGACTAATGATTTCAGGACAGTGGTGGAGCGCCAGGTCCGGGTCCCAGCTGCAACCGCTGCAACCCTGGGAGTTCTCATGAAAATGCCAAATATCTGCACTGGTACTCGAAAAGTATCTGTGCATCCCTAGGCTATTATTTAATCTAAACTTTTATTCTATAACAGTTGTGGAAATAAACTTGAAAGCCTCTGGTATGCCAGGTGAGCAGTTGTGGCAGACATTCAGAAAACTTGTAAAGGCTGAAAGCCATGTCTGTAGTTCACAAAACACAAGCCACTTATCCAATCATGTACTTTGTAAAGAGCACTTGGCCTGCTTTATAAATAATATCCAATGTCTCTAACTGCCCCCTCCGCTCTTTCAAAAACCTCCTGCTTTCCAATTCCCTCGTCAACTCCTCCCATGCTCGCCTCCGAAGACTTCTCTAGAGTCTCTGCCATCCTATGGTACTCTTTGCCCCATCCTGTCTGTCCATCTCCCATTCTGACTGCCTTTAGGCGATCCCTTAAAAAGAGAACTATGTGACGTGCCACACAGCTTCCTGATTGGACTTGCGTCCCGGCTTCCTCATTGCCCGGAGGCAGGTCATGAAGTGCCGTCCAGCTTCCTAATTGGTCAGGAAGAGGGCTGCTTATCAACAAGTGATGCCGGCTTCCCAGCCAATCAGGAAGCCTGGGAGAAAAGTCGTGATTTGCTTCCTGATTTTGCTGGGAAGCCGGCTTCACTTGTTGGTAGGCAGCCCGGCTTCCTGACCAATTAGGAAGCTGGACGGCACTTCATGACCTGCCTCCCGGCTTCATTTTTTTCTAGGCAGCGTGACTTCCTGACCAATGAGGAAGCCGGGACGGCACTTCATGACTCGCCGCCGGCTTTCTGATTGGTCAGGCAGCCTCTGAAGCTGGCGTTCTTTCGCTAGAACAGCAGCTTCACAGGCAATCAGGAAGCCGGGTGATGTGTCATGATCCACCGCCCAACTTCCTGATAATCGGGGCACAATGCACTGCTACTCGGTATCGGTGAGTACCAAAACAAATATTGGTACTTGATACCGAAAAACCGGTATTGGTGCATCCCTAGTTTAAATTTTAAATGATTGTCCCACTAAAATGACAAACGAGTTGGATGTCAATTCATAACAATCTGTTCATAAAGAGAGTTGGATTGTAATGCGCTATTCACAAACTGAAAGGCAAGGGAAGCGGTTTTACCAAATGCCTGCGTTTCTTATGGGTGTGTCTGAGCAAAAGTCTAACTGCAGAACAATTACCCCCCCCCCCACCCTTCTCCTTTAAGTTTCTATTACATTTCTCTGTCCAACGTCTGCTCTTCTATCTGACCAATGCAATAAAGCTCTCTAGCTGATCAGATACAGCACTGGCAGTCCACATCGAAATGACAGCACTCCTACAGAAACAAAAGGAAGGGCCATTTTTGGAAACCTGGCAGATGGAAGTAAAATATAACCATGCTTGCTCCTGTCAGGGCCTGTTCACACGAAGTCCGTTTTCTGTGCTGACCTGATCCGTACGCTCCTGCACTCCAAAATGCACCCCAATGTATCCCTATGTGTTTTATGGGCTACAGTTCTCACGTGCGCAGTCCGTTCAGGTTACGACAGAAAAAATACTGCATGCCACATTTTGTCCGGTCAGGAAACTCAAAACGCGTCAAACGCACTGCACTGCAGCTAACATACTGACAATGTTTTTCTTTCTTTAACTGGAACGCATCAAAAACGCGGCAAAAATGCACTGCATCAGTAGCATGGCGTCTGCAGATCCGCACCTGATATCATGTGAACAGGCCCTTACACTGACCCATAGTTATATCAGTTAAAAAACTGCAGCGTACATATACCGGGTGTATTCAGTAATGCAGCGCACACAGAAATATATTGATGTACCAAGCACGGTAACACTAGTAGTGAATAACCCTAAAAAGGAAGATTATTTTTTTTGTTAAAATAATTATCAGTCCAAAGACATTGTGACACAAATTCAGGGATTATCCTGCGATCTGCAGCTGTTTGACATGGTGAACTTCTCCAAATGTTACCAAAAAAATAAATAAAAGGATGCTTTGATCTTATTTTAGAAAACAAGTTGCAGCAATCGACAAAACAATTTGCAGGAGACGTACAATGAAAGACACTTGGCACGAGATGCAGAACAATAAGAGATTTAAGTTTACAATAAAAAGTAGCAAACTTGAGCAACCCTTGGAGCT